CATGTCTCTGTCCATCATGTCTCTGTCCATCATGTCTCTGTCCATCATGTCCCTGTCCATCATGTCTCTATCCATCATGTCTCTATCCATCATGTCCCTGTCCATCATGTCCCTGTCCATCATGTCCCTGTCCATCATGTCCCTGTCCATCATGTCCCTGTCCATCATGTCTCTGTCCATCATGTCCCTGTCCATCACGTTCCTGTCCATCATGTCCCTGTCCATCATGTCTCTGTCCATCATGTCCCTGTCCATGTCTCTGTCCATCATGTTCCTGTCCATCATGTCTCTGTCCATCATGTCTCTGTCCATCATGTCTCTGTCCATCATGTCTCTGTCCATCATGTAGACCAGTCTCTCTGAAGGGTAAGAACCACTGTGATCCTCATGGTCCTCTGAGGACCACCGTGATGCTCAGGTGGCCCTCGGTGATCCATAAATCCAGTCTTGAAGACCTTGTCCCCTGTTCTCCAGAGGACCTGTAAAACCTGGTATGGAACCAGTTTTACTCTGAGTCCAGATCCGTCTTCAGGATTAAATAATTCTAGTTTTGTCAAACCGTCCTGGATCTGTTGAATCTTAGTTTTTTGTTTGAAACAAAAATGAGGGTCAACATGAAGATCAGCTGTCTGTTCAGTGGCTCCGCCCCTTTCACAGTTTTAACACACGTTTTGTGTTTCAGGGTTTTGTTGCTAAGCTGCAGCCAGCGTCGCAGCCTGAGCACCGGTAGGTCCCTGCACTCCTGCGGCTTGTTGTTGTTTTTGTTGTTGCTGCTGTTTCTTTTTGATTTTGACCAATCAGCTTCTCCTCTTTTCAGCTCGTCGCTCCCTACCCACCCCTCGGCCCCTCCCTCTCCTTGTTGTCACAGGAAGCGGTTACCTTGGTTACCAGTATTACAAGAGAAGGGACCAACATGATAAAACAGCTCTACCCCATTTGGCCACACCCACACAGGTACGTAAGCAAACATCTGCAGCTTCTCCTGTCCATTTGTGGTGGAGCTAAGTTAAAGGGGAGGGGCTTATAGAGTCTGATCAGACACATGAGGGGAGGGGCTTATAGAGTCTGATCAGACACATGAGGGGAGGGGCTTATAGAGTCTGATCAGAAACATGAGGGGAGGGGCTTATAGAGTCTGATCAGAAACATGAGGGGAGGGGCTTATAGAGTCTGATCAGAAACATGAGGGGAGGGGCTTATAG